GCAAAATACACCTCTATAAAAACGGCGATAAAAATCATACCAAAGAGAACTACAGAAAAATTTTAATATGCTATCACTTTGCAGTGATATTGTAATTATTGTGCAAAGTTTGACGTTGAATAGACTTTCTTAGCGCTGCCAACATCTTCCTAAAGTTGCGTGACGATTTGACCGTTTTAGCAAGGCGAAAACGGCTTTTTTAACGAATTTTCAAACTTTGATAATTTTCAGCCGGAAAAAAAATCGCCGGAACTTTAAAATATTTTTTTCGAAACTAGTTCACAGAAAGGGATATTTTGGCAAAATAAAAAAAAATTCGAGTTTTCGTCACTGATTTTCGATTCTCGAAATTTTCTGGCGGCTTCTCTTAAGTACCTACCAGTAATAGCACAACAGGCAAATATCGATCAAGCGTTAAAAAAGCCACTCAGTCGTGCGCACCACTCATAACAAAGGCGTTTTTTTCCATTTAGAGAAGAGCAAATTCAAGTATCAAAGTACTCAAATCAACTTAACTGTTACAAGAATACATAAAACCGTTCAAATCACCTTCCGTGCCCCTGAAGAAGGACAAACAGCCGTTTATAATTCAGTCGACTTTCCAGCGCGTGCACTCGAAAGCGCTCTCTACTGCGAGGATCGTGCATCATACGTATCTATAACCGCAGTTCAAAAATATGAACTTCATATATTCATCATATCTTTCAATTTTGTGTTACAGATTGAACGATTTGAGTCTTGGTGGCCTGAATACTTAATTTTGTTGTACTATGCTTGCAAGGGCGGCTGGTATACCATCTTAAGAATAGAGGATTTGATTAGCGTTAATAGCTTGTTGTCTAACGAAGGATCCATTTTTCCTTGTTTCTGCTCTTGCCTGGGGTGGGGCAGCCATGCACCTTCGGTGTCATTGCTTTTAACGTTTTCCTTGGCCCGCACCTTTACTGGGCAAACATATTTTAACGGAATTCATTGTTGTTCTGTTTGTTTCGATAAAAGCGGTTATGGACCTATTGTCCTTAGCCATATTGTTCCAACTTAAGTTTTTTATTTTTTGCTGCTCAGTAACCAGAGCTCAGGCAAGAGCATCATTTTTGGATTTTGTTTTGGGCAGAGAGAGAAAGGCATGAAACCTATTTTCGTTACTTTACACCAGCAGCAGCCCAAAATACCTTTGACTCACAAGCACTTTTGCTGTTCATACATACGATAAAGAGTCTTAACATCTTAAAACTACTTCTTTTAAATGGATTGTAAAAATAATGAAGAGACCAACTAAATTGAATGTTAACTGGGATTTAATCATTAGACACTGAAAATAGGCTCCTGCAAATTACAGAGAATGCAACAAACTGCCCACGTTTGGTTTACCACACCAAACAGCTTTTGGGGGAGAACACTATCCCAAATGTGAAAAATTTTAACTTTATTTATGGCCCTTTCCACTTGGACTCTCAGTGATGCAATTGTTTGTGTTTTCACAACATCTTCAGGGCTCGTTTGTCTCTGAGATCCAAGAAAAGGTGGAATGTTTCATTTGATTTAGGGAGGAAGTAGGTCTTCTATTGTGAAGTTTTTATCTGCCGTCACCATTGTCCAATCGTTGATCCAAAAAAACAACTTCGCCTTACTACTTCTCTGTCTGAGATATGGCCAGTACACAGCTGGCTTATAAAGGAAAAAGCCCCACCTGGTGTGATACTCACCACAGCTTTCAAGGTGGTATGATTCTTTTAAGCACTAAAATGTTCACTGTTTAAGAGAACGCTGCTGGGTATCTCACATTTGATCTATGTGCAGTCAATTACTACTCTTGTGGAAAGATATTTTCCTTGAATTGTTGGAACATGTACTTATCGACCATTTCCCTCGATGGTCACATGGGTCTATCCTTGAACCTCAAATACAAAACGTTCTCCCAAGTAATAATGATTCTGCTAACTGTGGATTGTGATATACCATACAAATAGGCTGAGGCCCGGTTCAGACACCGTACTTCAACCGAGACGAATCGAATTCAACGAATTAAATTCATGTAAAGTACGGCGTCTGAATCAATTCGGAACGGTTGATTTAATTTAGATCGGCTCGTTCAATTAATCCCGCTTGACTCAGCCGGGAAGAACGGCTGTAGACCAGCTTTGAATCAGACTTTGATTCAGATACTTCACATAAGCCGAATTAAGCGCATAAATTATTGAAATCATTATAATGTATTTTTTTACTTAAGAGCAAAGGAATGTTGCAGAAGAAAAATGGCGGCTTGGCGGGCTGAGCTAAATAATGCTGACATGTGTAGTTCGTGTTTCAGCATGACCAAATACACATGCTTGAAATGCGAGATCCGTATATGTAATAAATGTTCGATTTTTGAACAAGACGAAGATTACCATGGATGGGTCGCTGGTAAAAGCGTCGCTTTTTGCGAACCATGTGCCCAAGAGGCGGGAAAGGACAACGCTAATGCCGAGAATAACCAAATTATGTCCAAAAATCCGACAGAGTGTAAGTTTTTACTTTAATATAATCTATTAACCTCTTGTTATCTGTCTCACAGCATGCGAAAATTAACGTGAAATACCGCATTATAATAAACAATTGTAACAGACGTTTCCTGGTCACGTCTGCACTGATGTAATGAAACAATAATATTTCATATCCTACTATGAAATTTACGGCTTACATATCAGCAGAAGAAATAAACTTTCTGGACGAAAAAGGGGCTATTTCACCAATTCGTTTCGCGGATTTCTTCTGCTCTTCAACAAATTGCAAATCGTCAACTCTATAGCGTTTAAATTGTCCTTCCTGAAAGGGAAGTGTTATTCAGACGGACCTTTGCATTATCATGGTTTGCCATTGTTCGCATGGAAGCAGTTGCGAGAGAAAGAAGAGGCCATCGGTCGACGATCCTATGGTTTGGTTTTTGTGGCGAGAAACAATTCTGAGAAGGTCAAGCTATTAGGTGAGAATAAGAAGGAAAAGCCTCTTTTTCTCAAAGAAGCAAAAATATCCTATGGGATTAAAAGTGAACATATTGTTAAGTTTAAAGCTGTGTGCAAGGAACCGTGTGCAATGAAGCTTGAATATTTGTTTTTTGACTTCCCTCACTTCGGCGGCTCAGAAATTGTTAGCAGCCTGGACCGACTTGCGTTCCGTATTTTAGGATTTGGAGTAATTTTCCGCCATTCCGTGTTTTAGGATTTGGGATCATTTTCCGCCATTCTGCCGTTCCAGCTTTTAGGGTCGCCCTTCAAAATATACAGTCATTCAAATTTTGACCCCCTCAGCCTCGCTTTAATGTAACTCGTACCAGTGTTTGTCACGCGGCCGCCATTTTGGAATAAGATGTATTTTTTACACTTTTCTGCTTTTATAGAAAGGTAGACTAAACCTTTATCTTCGTCTTAAGTTACGGATATAATGTCGAAATTCGAAGAACAATCTACTGGAACACACAAGCGTACTTAGCGGTATGTACTTCCAACAACTCCACGCTGTTTAATGCCGCAGCGTTATTGCAACTTAGTGATTCTTGGTGATCTAAATTGTGATATCTTACATCCGGACAAGGGATCCAGGGATGGAAGAGACTTACTGAACTTAATGATGGTATATAAGTTAACCAACTTGATCAGGGAACTCACGAGAGTGACTGCAACATTTACTACTCTCATCACCGTAATCCTGACTAACAGACCGCGGTCTTTCTTAACGTCTGGCACGTTAGACTTGGGCTTAAGTGACCATCACCTGGTCTACGCTGTTAACAGGTCACACTGTCCTAGGATTTGCCCTATAACCGTTGAAAGACGCATTTTCAAGAATTGCGATCCCGAGCGATTTCGCGATGATGTGCATTTGATTCCATTCGATATCGCATACATATTCGAGGACATCGACGACATCTATTGGGCTTGGAGTCACCTGTTATCAAGTGTTCTCGATGACCATGCGCCTATTAAACGCAGAACAGTAAATCATGAGCATGTACCATTTATGACACCTGAGCTACTCGAGGCAATTAGGAAACGAAATAAATTAAGGCGCTTTTACAACAAGTCCAACTGCCGGCTAGATTGGGACAGATATAAGACTCAGCGAAACTTTACATCTTCATTGAGACGTAAGGCTGTATCCAACTATTTTCGCACCACTGCCGCAGATGCCAAAGGCAACGCCAAGAAATTTTGGCAAACGGTCAAGCCTTTCATACACTCAAAGAAAAACATCACCCAGGACTCCATTCATCTTAAAGAGGGTTATACTCTTTTTGTTAACAAACTGGAAGTAGCACAAATTTTCAGCGCGCACTTTTCATCCTTCTTGAAGGACA